CACTGGTACAGAACTCCCTTCCATCCAGAACACCTTCACCACATGCTGCCTCAGAACAGAGGATGATATAATCAAAGACCAAAACCACCCTGGGAGTGTACTTTTCTCTCTTCCTTCTGTCAGATTTAGGCCAGGCCTCTAGGTTCAAAGAAAGCTTCTACCCCACAGCCATAAGACTCCTAAACTCCACCTCTTAAATCCTCCCCCCACTTACACCCCTCTGTTTTGCACTGAACTCAAAATACTGCCGCCACTTGTATTTTGAACTGAACTGAAAATACTACCACTGCTGAATTTTGCATACAGCTGCTTTCTAAATGCTGGTTAAATAATTGCTGCTACCCTGTTCCAGTCTCCAAGAATTATGATGTCATTTGTTATGTCATTTTCTACAACAACAAGTAATTCCTTATACTTATATAGTGCTTTTCTGGACACTCTACTCAAAGCACTTTACAGGTAATGGGGACTCCCCACCAGTACCACCAATGTGCAGCCCCACCTGGATGATGCATTGGCAGTCATAGTGCGCCAGCACTCTCACCACACACCAGCTATCAGTGGGGAGAAGAAAAGATCAATTAAGCCATTTCAGAGATGGGGATTATTAGGAGGTCATGATACCTAAAGGCCAATGGGAAATTTTGCCAGAATGCTGGGGAACCCCTACTCCTTTCAAGAAACACCCTGAGATTTTTAATCACAGAGACTCAGTACATCGGTTTTACGTCTCATCCGAAGGATGGCACCTTTGTACAGTATAGTGTCCCCATCACTATACTGGGGCATTAGGTCCCACACAGATTGCAGGGTGAGTGCCCCCTACTGGCCCCATTAACTTCACTTCCAGCAGCATCCTTAGTTTTTCCCAGGAGGTCTCCCATCCAGGTACTAACCAGGCTCACACCTCCTTAGCTGAAGTGGGTTTCCAGTTGTGAGTTGCAGGGTGATACGGCTACTGGCCATATGTCAATCTTATGTCATCTGTTATGTCATTTGTCATGTGAGGAAAACACGCAAGTAAGCATTTCATTGTACATATAACAATAAACGAACTTAAAACTCTTCTGACATGTATCCAAGATTTTCTTTAAAATAATAGTAAAATAGTAATAATAAGCCCTTGTCTCAACTATAATCCACCTACAAAAAGGCAAACTGCTGTTTACTTTAGAAAATACATAATTAAAAATGAAACTTTCTTCACAATGCAAAGTGATTCAAAGTCACTTTTCAAAAAGGAGTTGTTACGTAATGCTATAGCTTCCCACAGATGAAATGACTGTTTCATCAATTATCAGTAATTAGGATTATCAATAATGAGGATTGTGTGACCTCTTAAATAAGAGAAGCACGGGTGCAGAAGAAATTTAAGTTCCTCAGCGTCTTCAAATGCCCTAGCTAACCTTCACTGACTACCCAAAACCATACAAGACAAACAGCACTTATCCGTACTAACTAGTGTTACTAATTCAAAGATCAACTACTTGTGTAGAAATGTACACAACAACCTAAACTAATCCTATACACAAAAGCTCACACAAATACACAAGCGAACTACAAATACAAACGAGAGTAGACATAAGTAACAGGGTAAAAAAGAACACAGAGATTGAACATATAACCCGTTAGGGCAAGGTAATGGCAAAATAAACAAACACAAACAAACAAAAGTACAAAGAGTCGAACACAAACCAACAAAAGTCAAAGCTATACGAAAACAAACACGAACGAAGCGAAGCCGGAGCAAAACCGAAGCTGAGCCGAGCGGGACCGAAAGGCCCCCCATCCTTCAAAAAACCTCCAACTAATATACCGAATAATCTGCGTTCTGATTGGCCGAGAGATAATTGAAGATGATGTCACACAGAAAGAATGATGTAATGATGGACCAATGGGAAAGGGGGAACAATCAAGGTCCTCAAAAAATGGTGGCTTGAAATTGGGTTCATCAGCCAAATATGTTTGTCAGATACTACTATAAGCATCTTCATTACATTGAAGATTATTTTCTGTGTTCCATTTTATTTATTTGAAATAGAATATGTTTCTATTTTCAAGATACACATAATATGATAGACTAAGCATTATATACATCTAAGTTGCCAATCCCTCTTATTATGTATATATAATAGATACAGAGCATTAAAAGTTATCTGCTATATGCTATGTCGTTTTTGTCGTAGATGCATTGGCATTTTATTAAACACACACAAACACATGATAAATGAATTCATTATTCTAGTTAAAATTTGTCTTCAACAGTTTGATCAACATGGTTGTACAGTGCAAGTCTGTGATGCATATGCCTATTCACTGGTCTATGAGCCCTAAATGTCACATGTCCCAGCTCAATGTTCAGCACAAATGTTCAGTGGGGTTCATGTATATAGAGTAGGACATCCGTAGAAAATTATTACACGAGCATTTCATTTTAGTAGACAGGAGAAAGTGAGGTCACAGGACTTGCTTGATCAGTGTATTGCCAAGAAGGCAGATTGCTATAAATCATTACAAGCTACTAAAACCATTAAATGTGGATGATGACACTTGGAGATGTGTCATGATGCATGTCTCCTAGATCAAAGCCTGTAACTGTTGAACTGCATTTTGCTGTAACGTCTTGCCAGGTTACAAATTGCTGACTGTGAACACCTCAGACAGCAAGCAGCATTGCAGTCTCCTAGTTCAGCTGGACTTAGTTCAGTGTCTAATATATGCCGATGGCATGAATCTCCTCTAGATGAGCAGCGCATGTTGGTTCTTGTGTTTTTCTTGCTAGGTCTTCTCCAAGCCTGATGTTCAGCAGGTTAAATCAGTTCTTCGACTGTGGCCAGTCATCTCCCTTAGTAATAAGACGATTTAGTGTGTGTATAATATTCAAAGTCATGTGAGTATACAGTATTTATGGACAGGCATGAAAGAACAATTAAAAAAAGATACCACAAATGTTTAATCAGTATCAACAGTCCCTATATTTATTTTTGTAAAACGTACATGCACAAATAGTGGCTTATTTGGATGCTCAGCATCCGCAAGAGTATGTAGAAATTCTATTGCTTGGTCTTCTCTTGTCTAGATGAGTGCTAAATCATGACAGGTTTAATTGCTCTCAGCTATTAAAATACATTACTACCTGGCTTTTAATGTGTCTGATTTAAAGTGACATCAGCTACTATTCTGTGTAGAAACCTACAAGATAAAACATAAACTCTTATGACAATTGAAAGTATATAATTCAGATATTTGCCAAAAAATACTTAAATAATGTAATTATATATTGATAAATTAATTTTAGTATATTTAAAAATGACTAAGCTTTTGTTAGAGATAAGTAGGGCGTTTCTTGAGAAGAGTAGGGGTGTAACCCCGGCATCCTGGCCAAATTTCCCATTGGCCTTTACCAATCATTGGCCTTTACCTAATAATCCCCATCTTGAATTGGCTTCATCACTCTGTTCTCCTCCCCACTGATACCTTATGTGTGGTGAGAGTACTGGCACGCTGTGGCTGCCATCACATCACCCAGGTGGGTCCTGCACATTGGTGGTATTGAGGGGGGTCCCCATTACCTGTAAAGCGCTATATAAGTGTAAGGAATTGTTATTATTAAGTAAACCATTTTTAACACATTTCCAGAAACTGTTGCTAGGAAATAAATATGGTAGGTAATATGTATTGCAGTGACGTAGAAGGAATTTAGGCTAGATGTCCTAAAACATTTAGTTTAAGGAAAGAATGTACTAATCCCTTTTGCCAATGATTTAAGAATTATGCACAAACTTTCCCTGCTCTTCTCCATACTTTATTTTGAGGTAATAGTCAAATTTTTCTCTTGCTCAAAGAGCATAGATTGAAAATGTCAAGTATCATTTTTCCGAAGGCCTGTATGCAGTTAATACGTGCTTTTCCAGCGCAACTTGAAAGTGTTTTGGATTAGAGGAATGATCTAAATGTGTGATTTTTATCCACCTGATTGTTTTAAGAGTATTTGCCACATTAAGCAATTGGTAGTTTTGAGTGTATTGATTTTAATCTAAAACAGAGGATATAGTTGTGTGTACAGTATTTTAAAACCAATTTCAACCTGATTTTTTTTCTTGATTGCAAAGATCATCCATTTTCAATGCATTCCATTAAATACATTTTCAGTATTTTTATATAGATTTATTCAACCCAGAATTAAATCACCCAACATTATTTAATGTTTTGGAAACTTTTATCAGTTTTTAAGAAAACACTGATTTCGTAAGGTAAACTAATGTGGATAAATTTACAGTATAAAATATTGCAGAAGAGGTGGATTTATTGTGATATTGATGTAAGAGATCATTCCTCCAAGGAATGCTGCTGAATAGCTATCAAAGGCTTTTGTTTTCCTAAAAGAGTGGGTGAAGACCAAAGAATGAAAGGGTCACAAGTAATTCATAAAGAAGGTAAAATACAAAAAACAAATTAAAATCTTGGCTGAGATGACAAACCATTTCTTGATAGCTTTGGTTAGCTATGAAATTAGAAATCCACAGCGTACAGAATCTTGACTGATCATTTGAACCGCAATCAAAAGGGCAAATCTGCTTTTTTCAAAAGAAGAGGCAGTGTCAGAAATGAGACTTTCAGTCCTAAAACGATAAAAAATGACTATTGATCCCTACAACTGTTATGTTCATTTCTATTGATCAGATAAAAGAAAGATAAATCACCATCCAAATAAGATTACAGCAGATGTTAGCATGCTGTAGATGACAGTGGGACTGAGCACCATTCATCATTTCCAAGAGTGACCTACCCCCTATATTCAGGTTCAGACATCATCCTGCTGTCTAGTCACGCATCCATTGATTTTGTTCCAACTGCCTAACTTGATCCTGACATTAATTTGATGCCCAAGATGGCTGCATGGCAAAAGGTTTCATAGCTGGCACAATTTTATATTCATGTTATTTATACATAGCATTCATTTATCTTTTTTTTCTCATATCTGTTCTCCTATTCTCCAGAGTGCACAGTTCTATAAAGTCACGACTGAACAATATCAGCAGGCTGTCAATGAGGTCGAGGCAAAATTCAAGTAAGTTATTAAATTCCTCTTTTACTATTGAATTTTTAATAACATGTTTAAAATGTACTCTGAACAACTTTTAAGTGTGATAAACAGTCTTCTTTTTGTACATTTAGTTTTGAATTTAGTTTTTGTGCAGGATTGTTCAAAATAATATAAGAATGCATATCCTTCCAACACGTAGTGTTACCTACCAATACACTTCCTATATTACTGTATTACTCATGGAGGCAAACCACTTAGCCACTCTCAAGCATGGTACAGTATATACAGTATATTTGTATGATGCTTAAAGGCTCGTCCTCACCTCTGTATTGCCATTTCTGTATATATCAAGGTTTATTATTTTTCTAAAAAGTGTTAAACCCCAGGTATTTTATGTGCTATTTTAAGATGTAATTTGGTTTGTGTCCTCATAATAGAGCCAAAGAAAGTCCCATTGTGAACAGTTAGAAATAAGGAATAATCTAATACATTGGTCAAATTGATAAACTAAACAACTGGGGTTTAGTTCCTAATAACTCGTGTAGGCATTTTAAACTTAAGTCTGAACAGTTAGTAATACAGTTCACATAAATATTTGTGGTAAATGACTTTTTCAAGGGAAACAGTGTTCCGAAGTCCACGAGAATTAGACCTCATAGAAGTGCAGCAACAAAAATTTTAAGATAGCTGTATCTTTACATGGGCATGTAGTAGTTTGACTGCTGTAAATTTTAATGATGTTTTTTAAAAATATCATACATTCTCAAAACCTCCGTACAGCCTACCCTTGTTTTCCCTTGTCTTTGCTTTGTGATCACCATTCTTTTCTGTAACATGGTGCATATTACACTTTTTGTGTTCTTCAATAAATCATGGCATCAACTATTACAGTTTAATTGTATGAAGTACATTATAAAATTGCATTCATAATTCTTGCTTTTAGAATATGAGGAATATATGTATGATTATAAGTGTTTTTATAGAAGTCTTTCAGCAGTATTGTTAAAGATACAGTACAACTGGCAGTATTTTTCCTTATTCTCAGCCAAGAGCAGTAAGCCAGACCCTGCATGAAACATCAGGTTTCTACTGTCAAATCCAGTAATCATGTTTGTAGATGTACATCTCATCCAAATGGCGAATCCGTGCAATAATTTATTTTGTTCACATCACCTTCACTTTGCAAGTGAAGTAAGCAGTAAGCAACCTTGCTTGCTGCATGCTGCGTGAGTAGTTTATACTGGGACAGTTTTTTTTTGATAATTCCAGAATACAAATAGCCAAAAGTGAGGTTACAGAAAACCAAAGAAATTGAAGACTTTCCGGTTCACGGATTATTCATGAATATCCAATGCCCCTAAATATATATACATGTAGTCACAGACAATTCGGTACTTAAAAGAACAATAAAGAAAGCAATTTCTCTTAATACCTTAATGCTCTATTGAAAAAATAAATTTAGAAAAAGTAAAATAGGAGAACAGGGTCATCCGCAGATTTTCTGGAAAGCATATTATTGCGTGATAGGTGGCACAGGAATTGCGAGAAGGTGGTCATGAAATGCACGAGCAAATAATTGGATTCCTTAAGATGACTGTCCTTTGTGAAAACCAAAATGGAAACCTTTGCTTAAAAATACACAGATGTATTCCATTGAATACGTGAAGGATGCTTATTATTTCTTCATCCAAAATATATTCTTACAGATTTAAAGCTAGAATCTAGATTTTAATATATTTGAATTGGAAAAGAGGAGGACTCAAGTAGAGACTGCTCATTATGAGCTTCTCTTCAACGAGGTTATATATATTGTATTAAAGGGTCAATGAACTTAAAATATATAAAGAATTGTGCAATTTTAATTGTTAGCCATTTCTAAAAGACTTATTTGGTGGAAGTTTGTATCCCAGCAGGACGGGTACCCTAATCCTAGCCTCGATCCCCCAGTCTTCAATTCCATACTATCGATTGTCTTAAAGACTACTCTTGGCAAGAAGAAAGTTCGTCACTTAGCTCATAGTTGTACACCCTTTAAGAGCAGGTAAATTGAACCTGAAAAATGTCAGAAATGAATTTTAAAACAAGAAAATTATTACAAGCTGAAAAGGTAACAAAGATGGGTTGTGCAAAATGGTATTAAAAATTTAGTATTATTATTATTAAATTTAAAAATTCTTACACTTATATAGTGCTTTTCTGGACACTTCACTCAAAACGCTTTACAGGTAATGGGGATCCCCTCCACCATCAATGTGCAGCTCCAACCTGCATGATGCAGCGGCAGCCATAGTGCGCCAGTACTCTCACCACACATCAGCTATCAGTGGGGAGGAGAGCAGAGTGAATTTATAGAGAGGGATTATTAGGAGGCCATGATTGGTAAAGGCCAATGGGAAATTTGGCCAGGACGCCGGGGTTACACCCCTACTCTTGTCGAGAAACACCATGGGATTTTTAATGACCATAGAGAGTCAGGACCTCAGTTTTATGGCTCATCCGAAGGACGGCACCTTTTTACAGTATAGTGTCCCCGTCACTATACTGGGGCATTAGGACCCACATAGACTACCGGGTGAGCGCCCCCTGCTGGCCCCACTAAAACCTCTTCCAGCAGCAACCGTTGTTTTTCCCAGGAGGTCTCACATCCAGGTACTGGCCAGGCTCACACCTGCTGAGCTTCAGTGGGTAGCCAGTTGTGTGTTGCAGGGTGACATGGCTGCTGGCAAATTAGTTGTTGCATTGTGCACATTGCATTCTATTTTGTTGCCATAACATAAAGGACAATTGCTAATGTACCTTTCAGTAATTTCACTTGGAATTTATGTAAGTCGCTGTTTTTTAACTGCCCAAATACGTTTGACAATACATGCTAGGAAAAATATATACACTGTATTAGACTTTGTGCATGTATGGTGATGTTGTAAGCAAAAATCAAAACAAAAGGGAATGATAAATACATCAGTAGTTTGGGGGAGACAGGGTTGAGAGGTATGATACTTTGACTGATCTTCCTTTCTTTCTGTCTACCTCAGTTTACGCAATTCCTGGATGCCTTGTATTGGATAGCAAGTGTAGTCCAGCATTCTCTTTGAGCTCTAAAGAATAAACATTACAGTGGCAAAGTCCCAGCCACATTACTTGTCTTGCATACCTCATGGTGTGCCCTCTCAACCATAAGGGGACTCTTCAGTCTTGTCTTTCTCACTGTCAGAAGCATATTTTCCACTTAAGTATTAAGATGACTTACACTCTAAAAATAGTTTGTCACTCTAAGAGTTTCACTATATTTCTCATAGCGTTATGTTGAATATCTGTTTTCTGTGTTATACTCATTTGATTAAGCTGACATTTAAATTAATATCTTCAGCTATGATATTGCCAGAAGTGACAGGATTCATTGTTGGAAATCTTTTGCAGTGTCAACCAGCTACAGTGTATATGTACAGTCGTGTGTGTTATGTCTGTTTAAATGGCCTTTACCACCGAAATTGTAGTAATAATGATTGTGATCATAGCTGAAATGTTTTTCCTTATTTAAATGTTTTTTACACAGAAAATACATACCAGAATACCAAAATACTGTATGCACCAGAATTATTAATCAGCGGCTGCCAGATGGTGTATACTTCTTTACATTTCTTCACTCCATCTGCATACTAAAAGAAATTAAGATAGACCCTGCAATTTACATACAAATGTGTATAATATTAAGTTCATTTCACAGAGCAGTTGTGAAGACTGATAAGAAAATACACTTTAAGTAAATGCATTCTTAGGAATCACAAAGTGTACACGTAAACATAATTGGAGTAATCTTTGGTACATAATTCTTAATGAAAATGACCATGAAAAATTATTTTGTCTACGAAGAACTGTTAAAAAATGGATCAAAATCTAAATGAGCAATTCTAGGAGCTCTTACAGTACATAAATTGTGTTAAAAGAACATTAATGTGACATGCTGCCTGTGCTAATGCAGGGCTTGTATTACAAGATGCAGCATTAAGAGTCAAGTGATTAGATTATAAAGATGTATGCTTTGTAATGAAAAGTTTACACAAGAATAACGGAGTCTGATATTACAGGAAGAGTAGGGCTGTGATCACTGACTTCAGCTTTTAGCAACTAATTACATTTTACATATATATTCTTTATTCTTTAATTGGAAGACTGGTACAAGGATATGTAGCAGCTACAATAGTGTTATTCCCTTCCCCTGGGTCACAAGGGCAGGGGAAATATTGAATTAAGGAACAGAAGGATTGGATTTTTCTCTGTCAAAAAAAAACTTTCATGCCTTCAGCTTTCGTGGGTGTTGAAACGTCCCAATGCATGATTCACAGTTCTATAAGGCAAAGTCTTTGTTATCATATCAACAGTGTTTAATATTAATCTTAAGAGACACAAAATACTGTAAAATCTAGTATGTTTCATGTCATTGTATGCTGTTTCTTTATTTACATTCAGAATATTAGCATATTTTCCACAGCATTTTATTCTCATGTGTCACATTATTTTAAGTGTAAAAAGTGAATTGAAGCAGTTTTGTGACGTATGCCCAGTGTCCTCATCTGCTTTCGGGACTGTTTCATTCACTTTCTTCCAAGTTCCCGAAGTTGCTGATGTTTAGAAGTGAAACATTTCAGCTTTCTTACTGAACATTCTGCCATGTGTCTGTACACAAAGGATACCTGTGAGTATATACAATATATTCTTCCTGCACTTTGCTTTCTATATACACCCCTCTGGATTGCTGATGACATCACATACATTTTGAAAATGTTTAGAAGTACACATTTTCAAAATTTATTCTATGTTTTCAGAGACCTTCTCCCCTAATAGTTTGTAGTGGAGTGATCATGATGGACTTGTAATCTCTTGCTAGCAACCCAGTCACTCACTGTTCTGCAGTTAACCATTCTGGACCTCTTCATTTAAATACTTGCCGCAAATAATGTATCTAAGAACCTCTTCAGTCCATACTTGCTAACTACTCTGTTCGGTATTGTTCCCTGTGACATCTT